TTTTCTTTTTTGTTTTTTGATGAATTTTTGTTCTTTTCTATACATTTTTTCTTAATTTTGTTTTTGCCATCTATTTCTTATTTATTTTATCTGTTTCTTAATTTCTCTTCTCATATTTATTGTATTGTGTCTTGTGGCTTTTCTAACAATTTGTGTTATCTTTATAATAATTCTTTTTGAATCAAAAATCTATTGTAACTATTGTCTAAAAAGCTTCTTTTTATTTTATTTTATTCTTTTACTTATTATTGTAATTTATATTGTACAATTTTTTATATTGCTATTTTAATATATTGTATGTAATAACACTTTATTTGTATCTTAATAGTTCACTATTCCTACCTTTGGTTCCCATATAATTTCTTTATAAGAAATGATGACATTTAATGACTCTTTCAAGAAAAAACCAGCAACATGAAGCAATTTGTCTTTTGTGAAGCAATGGCATTCATTTTGCAAAAGAAATTCAATGTCATATGGATATCAGTCTCTTTGTAGTTTATTAGAACCTAAAAAAGTTGAAAGAAATTAGTGGTATGACTCAACAAAAGGATGCAAGTCAAGGTCATCTCAAGTATTATGCATGCTATAAGTCAGTTTATTTGATGAATGCCCACAATATCAGTAAGCAGTTTGTTAAGTAAACTTCAAGAAAAAGGTGTAACACTTAATAAAGAAACTATTAGAAGACATTTTTGTGCTACTGGCTATAAGAATTCTATTTCTTTGGCAACACCTATGTTAATAGAGATACATAAACAAAAAAAAATTAAATAGGCTCAACACCATCTCAATAATAACTGGTCATATACCTTATTTTCCAATAAAAATTCTTTTCAATTATTTTGAAACATTATTAGTTAGTGGTACAAGGGAACCAACCCATTCATCATATTCCTAAAAATCGAAAAAGAATCAATATGTAAGATGGATTTTGTTTACAAAGTAAGACAGAAATTTATTGCTTTTTGAATATAATTAATGCCTTATTCTATGTCAAAATTCTTGAAAACAACTTCTTGATATCAAGAGAATGATAAAAAATGACTGGCTGTTTCTACACAATAAAAATCCAAAGTACACTAATGCTTTGGCTAAAAAAATTTCTTCAAAAAAACTTTTTCATAGTGATCGAGTGACCATCTAATAGCCTTGATCTTAATCCTATTAAAAATTTGTAAAAAATTGTCAAAAGAAACATGAAGAAGCAGGAATCTAAAAATTTAGAAGAGTTGAGGATATTAATGGTCAAAAAATAAAATAACATTCCAAAAAATGTTTAAAAAAATTTGATTTATTTGATACAAATAAGATATCAGCAAATAATTGATGTATAAGAAGAAAGAATTAGCTATTAGTAACTGTATAACTATATTTTCACACTTCTATACTATGTAATAAATTATATTGCTTATTGGATTGACTGTTAATTATTAAGCAATTGATAATCAAAAATTTCCAAAAAATTATAAGTACTACTGTAAGTCAAAATATTGCTTACCTTTGTGGTTATAAAATTATGTATAATAATTGTCATTTGAAAATTTTCCAAAAAATTATGTGTACCACTAAGGATTCTAACAATTCTCTTTAATTTTATATTTGATTCTCAAGTTTATACTAAATTTAATAGATGGAATATACACTACTATCATTTATAATAGTGTTCTGAATTTCATGAAATTTACTGTGATTCTGTTTGATTCCAATTTTTAAAATCATAGGTATCACTATATATTGTAAAAAAAACAATATCTTTTATATATAACAAAACAAGTTCTATGCAATATTCTTACAGTAACTACTTAATTAATATTGAAAAAAAATTTAAAATAGTATATCTTTGCAAGTAATTCTAATAAATTATAATTATCTACTTGGCATTAGATAAAAAGAAATTGAAGCAACTGGTTATTAGTTTAATAAGATATTTAAAAAAATCGTATCTGCTTTGAATATAAAAGTTTGTTATTATAAAAGATAGATCAATAATAGTCAATATTTGTGTGATAGTAGCAGAAGAGCTATTAGATAGTTTTGATTTGGTGATATTTTGGATGTTTTTCTTTGTTGAAATATTGGAGAGATTCTTGTTTCATTTGATACCAGTCAGAGAGATAGTATTAGCTGTATAGTTTACCAAAAATATAAAAGCACTTGAATTCAACATGCTTTAAATTCATATAATCTATAATGCGTACAATAAAAATATACTGCTTTTAATTTTCCACTATAAAAACAAACTATTATAAAATAAAATTATATAGGATTTTAAAAAACAGAAAGCAAAAAAATCCAGAATTAAACTCGCTCTACAGATTTAAATGGTCTTATTCAATATAATTCTGAAACAACAAAAAAAATAAAGAATTAAATAAGAGCTAGAATTAGATTTTTATATAGGCTAATTATTAGAACATTTCTTACAAATAGCAGTATACAATTTATTTATACTCAAAAAATATAAAAGGACTATTGATTACTATAAATATTTTAATACATAATGACAGTGAATTTAAGAGCATAAAAAACAAAGAGTGTTTCACAATGGAATATCACGCTTGCTGAAATAAACCTTGAGTAATCTATGTAAAAGTATGCCTAAATATTACCATTATTCTTTATTGCAACAATTTCCCTTAAAATATATTCTTTCCCATTGGAAATCCGCTAATGAGTAAAGTAGTTTAAATAGCAAAAAGATTCCTAGGTACTTTATCAGAATTAAAGTAAAATATATTTCATGTTAAGATAAAATCGGTATAAATACACATTGACAAAATAAAAATTGACTATCTATTTTAACATGATTTATAATGTTTACAAAATATTTGTGAGATAAAATGAAAATACAATAAAAATTAAGATACAAAAAAAGATGCTCATTATTAATCCCAAGACTAAGAATGTAATGATAAACCATGATTGCTATTAATAAAATAAAATAACGCTATCTCAAATAATGTAAAAACAGTATACTTGTAGAATAATAATCATGGTCAATAATAATATAGACGTTTCAGAACATTAATATAACTACAATTGATAATAATGCCAAGAAAAAATGATGGTAAAAATTTTATAAATCATCAGGGTGGGTTAATGCGGATACTACAAGTAAAAAATCATTGATTGACATAAGATGAAATATAATGCGAATACCGCACAAGTTATATGTAATCGAGCATTTATAACTGAAAATATCTCCATATTCAACAAGTTACTACAAGAAAAAGAAACTGAGTGAGATTATTTAAGTGACTGTTGTATAGTAGATCATATAATAATAATAAATGATTTTCTTTCGCGACCAATTATTCCTAAGTAGTCTATTCCCCAGAATCTTTATTTTTCTCTTTTTGAATGTTACACAAAATTAAAAAAGTATCGAAAATAATGTGTTAAGGAAAGCATCATATACATCTTAGTTAGATGAATAAGATTCATCGACTGTGATACTATTGCAAGTGGAAAAGTAAAAACAATATAATTTTCCAGAATAAAAAAACTTGGTAATGTAGGATCATGGTTTTTTTTATTAAATAGAAAAACAACAATTATTGCGAGTGTAAACTATAAAATGTCTAAAAATTTTCATAGGAAAAATGTAATTATATGATAATTTGAAAAATCCCAGGTGATTATTTTTTAATACTAATTTCGACAAAATTCCCAATTATAAAATATATAAATAAACCTTTGTAATATTAAAACCGATCGTGTAAGACCTGGCGTAAAATCAATCTTGTCCGTTTTTTGGGGGGTCTTATTTTCATCACAGTCCTTTATTGTATTTAATAAAACAAGAACAGCTTATAATAAATATGGTATTCTAATTTAACTACTATAAAAGTTTTTTGTTAATAAATACAATTAGATATAAACTCTGGATTCAAATTACAATCTGCAATGAATAAAGAGTAGAAATACAATTCAAATATTTCTTGGGCCCAACTTTAATTTACCATAGTAAAATATAAAATATAATTAAATATTACAGTATATCTTATTTAGCAAGGTTTGCAAACGAACAATAAGCATATCTCGGATTCAACCGATAGTCTGCCATAGCAAAGAATAAGAAATAATTTAACTGCATCATATATAATTTATAAATTATTTTGAATTTCTTTATTTTATATAATTTTGGGAATCGAACAACGAAAGTATTTTGCTTTCGATTTACTGCTATAAAAGCCGACCATTGTAAACCAAATATACTGTATATACGTATTTTACTAAACAAAAGAAACCAATCATATTCAACTATCTAAAAATTTAAATTTCAACCTAATATAATTTTGTAACATCAAGGAAAAACAGAAGAAAAATCAGTACCATAACTATTCAATTTATATAAAATTTTTAAGAAACAAAAATAGTATATTTCAATGTTAGAAGAAAAAAGTGCCCTTCCCAATAAAACATGACGCTAGCTGTAAAAAAATTTCAATCAAGCTGAAAAAATTATGCTTAAACATTATCATTATTCTTTTTAGCTTCAATTAATTCTTTGATATAATTTTTTCTTTTGAAAATCCACCATTGAGCTACAGATGTTGAAGTGGCTAGAAAATTCTCAGGCACCTCATCAACATTAAAGTAAGACACACTTCTTGTTAAAGATAGAATCAGTGTAAATACGCATGCTTTGACAAAATAAAAATTGATTGGCCATTTTAGCATGACCAATAACGTTTGCAAAATATTAGGGGTATAAAATGAAATTATATATAAATTAAAAAGGAACTTAAAAAGACGTCCATTCAGAAAATTAGAAAATACAAGTATTATTAGCATAAAAAGACATAATGATAAAAATAACTCCGCTCCAAATAATACGAGAAAAAGTAAGTTGGTTGAATCATAATCTTGGCTAAAAATAATGCAAACGACCCAGAATACTGGAATGGCTATAGTCGGAAAAAGTACCAAGAATAAAACGATAAAAGGATATTTTCTATTATAATAACGTATTTCACTTAGTGTTGTAGGGTGAATTAGTGCAGATACTGCACAAGTTATATGTAAGCATGCATTTATAACCGAAAATATCTTTATACTTAACAAGTTATCGTAGGAGAAAGAAACTATTAATGGGATTACCCAAGTGACTGCGTTGTATAGTAGGTCATCTAATATTGGTAGAAGATTTACTTTCGAGAGAAATTTATCCCTAGGTATTCCATTTTTTCCAGATCCATTATTTTCCTTGGAATTTTTACTTGATATAGATTCTTCATCTTCCTTAGATTTTTCATTTGATATGGGTTGTTCATTTTTCCTGGGTTCTTCACTTTTATATCTGGAAATATTAAACAAAATTACAAAAGTGATCGGAAACAATGTGTTGAGAAGTGCGTCATATACATCTTGGCGAGATGAATAAGATTCATCGACTATGGATGCCATTGCAAGTGGAAAATATAAAAAGAATATAATTTTCCAGAAGAAAAATTAAACGAGGCAAAATTATGGTTTTTTTGATTAAATTGAAAACCAAAAATATCTATAAAGAAATTGTATATATTGAATAAGGTTTTTTCGTATAATTAATAATATGCTTATAGAAAATTTTCAATAAAATCCAGAGGTGAGGTTAAATAACAGAAAGTCTCAATGAGAAACTTTTTATACAAAATGCGGCATAGCTGTCACACGGCAATTTGAAGAATCACAGAAGCATTATTTTCGGTAATACTATTCCGAGAAAATTCTTGATTAAGAAACTTCTTGCATCAAAACCAATAAAGTAAAACCTGGAGATGTAAAATGGGTCTTGTCCGAGTTTTTCTTGGCCTTATTTTCGTCACAGTACCGTGCTGTATGCAATATAATAAAGATAGTTTATTAACAAATATAGTATCTTGATTCAACTTTATTACTATAAAGTTAAAGAGATACAATTTGGTCTATATTCTGGGTTATCTTACAATCTACAATAAACCCTTTTTAGACACAATAGTCTGGATAGCCCAATAGTAAAGAAGCGGAGCACAATTAAAACTTAATTCAAATTATTATACTAAATATTTGAAGAAAATTTTTTGAATTTAACATACACATCATAAATAGAATATGCAAGTATACCCTTATTTATAAAATTTTTGCGAAGTAAATAATAAAATATTTCAATTTAACTTACCATATGCATAAAAAATCAAAATATAACTATACCTCATTTAACATGACTTTACAAGGCAAATGACGAATATGTCTAGAATTTAACTTGTAATAAAGGAGAAGAATATTATTTAAATCCTATTTAGTGTGATTTTCTAACGAATAGTATATTTTAGATTTAACTTACAAAATACAATTTAATTACATTTCAATACAGTAATTAACAAAACATATAGCAAAATATTCTGAACTCGGCTTGCCTTCATTTATATAATTTTTCGAATCAACCAGCAAAAATATATTGCTTTAATTTATCACTATAAAAGTTGAATATTTAATATTTTAACTTAAATATTTTATACTTATTTTACACTAAACAAAAAGAAAATAGTCATATTAAACTCGGCCTTTATAAATTTTAACTTTCAACCTAATATAATTCTCTAACAATGTGGATAAAATCAGAATCGAAACCAGTGTCATAATTAGATCTCATATATGGTTAGCGAAGACTATGTCATAAATAGCAGTACATAATTTATTTATACTAAAAAAAATACAAAAAGAAACAATACAATTTATATGAAAAATTTTTAACAGGCAAAAAAAGTTAATTTCAAAAACAGAACAAGAAAGTGTCTTTCACAATAAAATAAGGCATTGGCTGTAAAAAAATTTGACTAAGCATGAAAAAATTATGTTTAAACATCATCATTATTCTTTTTAGCATCAATTAACTCTCTAATATAATCTTTCCTTTTGAAAATCCACCATTGGGTAAAAGCCGTTGAAGTGGCTAGATAATTCAAAGGCACTTCATCAACATTAAAGTAAGATATATTTCTTGTTAAAGATATAACAAGTATAAATACGCATGCTTTGACAAAATAAAAATTAATCGGCCATTTTAACATGATCAATAACGTTTGCAAAATATTTGGAGTATAAAATAAAAAAATACTAGAAACATAAAAAGAAAAAGAAAAAAAATTATTTGAAAAGACCGAATAATAAAAATAACGTTATCCCAAATAATACAGGAAACATTTTACTGGATAAATCGTAATCCTGATCAATAATAATATAAACAATCCAGAATACTGGAATGGCTATAATCGGGAAAAATATTCAGAAAATAACAATTTTACCAAATATCATATTATGACTACTAGCTTGATATATTGACATAGGATGAATTAATGCTGATACTGTACAAATTATATGCAAGCATGCATTTATAACCGAAAATATCTTTATACTCAACAAGTCATTATAGGTAAAAGAGACCACCAGTGGAATTATCCAGGTGACTGTGTTGTACAGTAAGTCATCTAATAATGGTAGGAGATTTTCTTTCGCTAGCAAATTTCCCTAAGCATTCCGATTTCAGGTTCTTCATTTTTCCCAGAGTCTTCTTTTTTCTCAGATTCTCCGTTTTTATTTTTTGAATATTAAACAATATTACGAAAGTGATCGGAAACAATGTTAAGAAATGCATCATATTGTCAGAGGGTAAAAATCGTGACGCGATTCCAGTCACGTGATTAATCGTCGCGATAGTGCCGCGAAAGACCCGTTCCGATCATGATACTCAAGGTGATATGGAGGGAATTGTAAGCGAAAGTGATGGGAAATGGTTAAAGTAGTAGTAGAATAGCGTGTTAGAGAATTAGGTAATGAAGAGAGGAGTGTGAAAACGATTAGATAATATGAAATAATGGTGATTGAGCATTATGTAATTAGGGAGAATCGTGAGAAGACATTAGATAATCGGTGTAAAAACCGTCCCAACTAAGATGTATAAAAAGAGAGAAGTAAAAAGTAAATAAAGGGGGATTAATGGATTGATTGATCGAATTATCTTTTACTCGACCAAATCGTACACGCCTTAAATTTCGCTTAGACCCCTTACCTCATCGCTGGTTACGCGACGTTCTGCCCATTTTAGCGACAGAATCGCCGATTGACCGTTACAAAAATATACATTTTGGAGATATGAATAAGATTCATCGACTATGGATACTGTTGCAAGTGGAATAAGTAAAAAGAATAAAATTTTCCAGAAGAAAAAATTCAATAAAGTAGAATCATGATTTTTTTGATTAAATATAAAACTGATAATTTCTTTAAATAAAATATAATTCATAGTAAAACGAGAATAAATAATTTTCAAAAAGAGTTACAAATACTTGTGTAAACTAATACAGTAAATAAAAAAAGTGACACAATTGTCATGACAATTCGAGGAATCACAAGCGTGTTATTATACCTTTCTAGAAGGATCATGCATCAAACCCGATCGCATAAGATCTTGAGGAGTAAAATCGATTCTGTCCATATACAGTATTTTTTACCTTATTTTTTTCACAATCATGTGTGTTTAAGCCAATAAACAAAGACAGTTTATTAAAAATTAATTTAAATGTATCAGTTCGGACCTGCACCATTGACCAAAGCACCTGAAATCTGTACATTTTATGCGATTATAATAAAAGATTCTGCTTTTAATTCACCGCTACAAAATTTAACTTTTATAAATTTAAATCTAAAATAATTATACATAACAAAATTATAAACACACCCTATGTTTACTTATTCTCAATAAATTTCAATTAATAATTCAATATAATTCTGAAATAACTATAAAAAGAAAGATCCGAAATCAGACTATAACCAAAGCTCTATATGGGCTAATTAGCAAAGAAGTTTTTTCATAAATAGCAATATATATTTTCTTATACTAAAAAAAAAACAAAAAACACAAAAAGGTATCACTTAATTAATATAAAAATTTTAATATACAAAGAAGGTAAATTTATAAGACAATAAGGAGATACTCTTCACAATGAGATTTGATGCTAGCTGTCGAAACTTTGAGTAAGCTATATAAAATTATTCTTAAACAACACTACTATTCCTTTTCTTTTTAATATCAATTTCCTTTTTAGAATCTCTTTTCTGATCAAAAAGCTCCCATTGAGTATAAGCTGTTGAAGAGGCCAGAAAATTCCTAGGAACTTCATCAACATTAAAGTAAGATGTATTTCTTGTTAAAGATAGAATTAATATAAATACAAATGTTTTGACAAAATAAAAATTAATTGGCCATTTTAACATGATCAATAACGCTTGCAAAATATTTGGGGTATAAAATAAAAATATACCAGAAGCACTTAAATAAAATGCAAAATAATCACTAAGTACATCCTCGGGATCAGCAAAAATGAACATAAAAAGTAACATAAAAAGACCGAATGATAAAAATAACGTTGTCCCGAATAATATGAGAAATATTGTGCTGGTTAAATCATATTCATGATTAATAACAATATAGACGATCCAGAATACTGGAATGGCTACAATCGGAAAAAATATTAAGAAAAAAAAATTAACCTGTATTCTTTTATGGCGTTCAGCTTCGTCTATTGACATAGGGTGGATTAATGCATGTATTGCACAAGTTATATGCAAGCATGCATTTATAACCGAAAATATCTTTATACTCAGCAAGTCATCATATGAAAAAGAGACTATCAGTGGGATTACCCAAGTGACTGTGTTGTATAGTAAGTCATCCAATAATGGTAGGAGATTCTCTTTTGCGAGTAATTTTTCTCTAAGTATTCTAGTTTCATGTTCTCCATATTTTCCAGAGTGTTTTGCTTCCTCAGATTCTTCATTTTCTTCGGAGTCTACTTTTTTCTCAGATTCTCCGTTATTATATTTTGAAACATTAAACAAAATCACAAAAGTAATCGGAAACAATGTGTTAAGGAGTGCATCATATACATCTTGGCTAGATGAATAAGATTCATCGACTATAGATGCCGCTGCAAATGGAAAAAGTAGAAAGAGTATAACTTTCCAGAAGAAAAAATTCAATGAAGTAGAACCATTATTTTTGTGATTAAATGGAAAACCAATAACTTCTATAAACGAATAATTATTCATAGTGAATACGGCAATAATAAGTTTCAAAAGAGTTACAAATACGAATGTAAACTATAAAATGTCAGCAGAGATTTATTACTATTTTTAAATGATACAGGGTTTTCCCGTACAGCGATTGTATAACAGTTGTGCAGAATACAGATAAAAGAAAACGCAAATTTCCATAATTAGTTAGGTCAATTAATGATCAAAGGACATCAAGTTCGACACTTTAGTAAATCTTATTTTAGTCATGATCATGGGTTTTTTCTGGCCCCGGCTAATTCGATTAAAGAAATTCTGATACACGGTTACCTTTTCAAAAAAGTCAATATAAAGTCCTAAAGTTTTAAATATATGAGAGTAAAGTTTGTTAATATTAAATAATTAAAATTTTTATGTCACTATTAAATAAAATAAGTAACGTATTTTATTTTGAGATTCCATCCGGAGAGAAGGCTACTAAATAAATTGTACAATATATCCTTTATATTGCTTGGTTCTAATATGGATTTTTTAAAGATGTCATCTAATAATAAGGTCACACTTAGTGTTACGAATGGGTCGAGTCAGCCCGAAATTTTTCATATTCTAGTCAGAACATTTGCTTAAGTAATAATTTCGGGTTAGGTCAGAATCGGGTCGGGTTAAAATCGGTTTTGCACGCGGTGGTCATTAGCCAGGTTCAGAGTACATTGCGTACCATTGAATGTGCGGGTAATTACCAGCCCGTTGTTTGTAACTTAATTTTATTGCTTGTAAGTATTGCTCAGGATCAAATTGGTTAAGGAAAGCATGCTCTTTGCACTAATAAGATCAAATTGTATTTTTTGGCGTTTGACCCGTTTAATATTTTCAGTCTGAGTTTAAAAAAAAAAAATCTGAAGCATTCACACTACCGATAACAAATTTTCTATACAAAATTATATTTAATTAAAATTCTTTATTTATAATACACTGAATAAAAACTCATTCTATGATTGTAATTAAAATCCTTATCTATAGTCTCGATTTTCTAAATAAGGAATGATTCGCTTTATTTGCGAAATATAATGTATACAAGGTATTTCGTATTCTGACAATTCTGACGTTGATCTTGCTTACGACTTACAGATTAGTTCGCATATTTAAAAATCTTTGTTTCTTTTCCTTAACCGTTTATACAATTAATGTGCTCTTTAAAATTATTCTCTTTCACCAGATGAAACTGGAGATTCTTTTTTGCTTGAGTCATGAACCTTCAAACTCGGAAAATTTGATGTCAACCGGTAAAACGAACAAAACGAATAATTTTACTAATTTTATGTGAATCGAATTATTTCAATAGTTACCAACATGTATTCGTGCGTTTAGTTTTCGTTCCGACGTCATCATGCAAAGAAGTTTTTGAAATGCATGAAAAAGGTGTAATCGACTTGTCATAGTGCCCGATGGATAGTAACAATTTTGACTTCTTCTGATGAGATGGATATTGTACGTATTTAATTTGAGTCGTAGTGTAGGTGACAAAGTATTCTTTCTTATCAAAATTTTAATTCCAATATACATAATATACGGAATTTAGGGAAAGGCGTTTCCATGTCTGTATTTCATGGCCATCACGGACGGATATCGTGTACTACATGAAGTTTGAATGATAAAAATTTGGTTTTCACGGGTGGAGATGCCGCGATATGTTTCGGCTAAAGACCATCTGAAAATATTTGTGAATTTTCGACTGATATTTTGATTATTATAATAAAAATATCTGTTTACTCTTATACTTGCGGTAAACCATTAATGCCTTTATGTCGATCAACACCAAACAGGCACAACATTAAACCCAAATCAGATCATTACGGCTGACATGAGTATGTCCACATTTTCGCATGCAAAAACAACCTTATCCATCGAACCCAATCGTAGGGTAGATATTCGTACATCAAAGAACAAGAAATTGAAAATTTTACTTCCATTGAGTACAACACCTGTTCGACGTAAGAACCTTCAATATTGTATTTTCGATCTTGCAAAAAGGTCGCGTTCAATACTTTGTCGCTTAGCGTTGTCTATTTCAGCTTTGGCAAACTTCGTACACCATAAAATCAATTCCCTATTTCTTGTTAATATTTTAACTAGATCAATATTGTCATAATCAAAAGGATTCATTGATTCATTTTCGCAGTCACGAGTATTCTGTAAGTATTTGAATGATATTCGCCGTGTTTTCTTCGAATAGTAATTTAATATTAGACGCTGAAGCCAGGAGGCATCTATATTATGTGGAGATATTTTTGGTAAATCCTGTGTACCAGTGACCTTTGACTTGACAGTACCTAGACCAATAACAGTTCGGAACCCTTCGTTTTCTTCATCTGAATGAAACTCTATCTTTTTCATCCTCAATACACTTGTCAATGCTTTCACATCACCTTCTTCATAATCTTCCTCATCGGACTCAACTTCGTATTTTCCAAATTCTTCTTCTTCCTCTTCATCAAATACTACAGCAACTCCAAGTTCATCATTAATTTCGCCTGAAAGTTCACCGTAATTTATGGCGTCTCCAGGATGAAAATTTATTATCTTTTCATTAGTTACGCAAATCTATCCGGTGTAATGGTACAAAATACCGTTTCAATTTCTTTTCTTGTCAAATCCTTGAGTAAATAATTTTTAAAAATTTGTAAAATGTCGCCTTGGCACTTCAAATTATATATTGAGCTTGATAATCGAGGTTTTCATATACGAATGCTAAGGGCAATTTGTATGTCTCCGGAGTCATGTTTGTCCGTAGTCTGTAAAACAACCCATAGAAATATTCGGTAGCGCCAATACATTAGAATATCCATGGGCTTTTTATAATATACTAAATAAATAATGTATTTAATAAAAATACAAAGGAAAAAACAACTTGAAAGAAAAAAGGGTAATGTAATATGAACCTATGCTCTTTTCTTTGTCTCGTTTTTTCTTCGCTTCTGTAGTCTCCTGTGCTTTCTTTTTTTGCTTGGAAATTATTTACGGTGTTCCTTTATAATTTGGTACCAAAATCTTTCGGGTTGATTTTCCCCATAACGATTCTGACTCCCCAGAAAACACATTGTCTCGACAGTTGATTCTGATTGATTTGTTGTAGGACAAGATTAAAGTTAGTGGCTTATAAGTTAGTACCAATATAAAAAGAGAAAGACCATTGTATTCTTACAATTATTAAATAAATTTCAACCCTTAGATAATAAATTCATCGCGTTGCTTAATTATTTAATATACTTGTAATTTCGTTAATCCGACTAATAGAAATCGGGACTAGTGAATTTTAGCAAAAAAATAACTTAGCAAGTATTCTAAACCAGTAAGATCAAAACTGTCTCAAAAGCTAGAGCTTAATTGCCATAAGAAAATCGCACAAATAACATTAACAAAAAAAACACATATGTGATAATAACACTTCTAATAACCAATAAAATTTCAGAACATGCAACCCGAATCTGACCTGAACTCAATCCTATGATCTTCGGGTTGGGTTCAGGTCGGGTTTGACCCGAACCAAACCCGAACCGACTCATTCGAAACACTAATTTTGCAATACTATACCAAGGAAAAAGTAGAAGAAAAATCAGTGCCATAACTATTCAATTTATATAAAAAATTTTTAACACAGAAATAGTAAATTCGAAAGAATGCTCTTCAAAATAATACGTGACACTAGCTGTAAAAATTTCGAGTTAGCATGAAAAAATTATGCTTGAACATCATTATTATTCTTTTTAGCATTAATTAACTCTTTAATATAATTTTTCCTTCTGAAAATCCACCATTGAGTTAAAGTTGTTGAAGTGGCTAGAAAGTTCTCAGGCACTTCATCAACATTAAAGTAAGACACATTTCTTGTTAAAGATAGAATCAGTATAAATGTACATGCTTTGACAAAATAAAAATTGACTGGTCATTTTAGCATGACCAACAACGTTTGCAAAATATTAGGAGTATAAAAGGAAATTATATATAAATCAAAAAGATACATAAAAAGATATTCATTCAGAAATTAGAAAGTGCTAATATTATTAGCATAAAAATACATGATAAAAATAACTCCATCCCAAATAATACGAGAAACAGTATGTTGGTTGAATCATAATCTTGGCTAATAATAATACAAATAATCCAGAATACTGGAATGGCTACAATCGGAAAAGGTACCAAGAAAAAAGAGAAAATGATATTTTTTATTATAATAACGAATTTCATTTAGTGTTTTGGGGTGAATTAGTGCAGATACAGCACATGTTATTTATAAGCCTGCATTTATAACCGAAAATATCTTTATACTCAACAAGTCATCATAGGAAAAAGAAACTATTAATGGAATTACCCAAGTGACTGTGTTGTATAGTAGGTCATCTGACAATGGTAAGAGATTTGCTTTCGTGAGAAACTTATTCCCATGTGTTCCATTTTTTCTAGATCCATCATTTTCCTTAGAATTTTTACTTAATATCGATTCTTTCTTCCTTAGATTTTTTATTTTATATAGGTTCCCCATTTTTCTCTTTTGAATATTTCACAAGATTTTAAAAGTAATCGGAAACAATGTGTTAATGAGTGCATTATATACATATTGGTGAGATTAATAAGATTCATTGACTATGAATGCCATTGCAAGTGGAAAAATAAAAAGTATATAATTTTCCAGAAGAAAAAAATTTAATAAGTACGATCATGGTTTTTTGATTTAAATTTTTTTTAAAGGAATACTTGTTCATGGCGAATACAGCAATAAGATTTATTTTGTATGATTGGTCATATATTTATTAAAATTTGCAAGACTTAAATGCGAGTGTAAATTATAAAATGTCACAATGCGAAAATTTTTATAGAATAAATGTAATCATAATAATTTGACAAATTACGGGAGCTTATTTTATTAACTAATTCCGAGAAAATTCTCAATTATAAAATATTAAAACTGATTACATAAGACATTGAGGCGTAAAATCCGTCTTGTCCGATTTATTTTTTGCCTTATTTTTATCATAGTCATATGTGTGTATGCTAATAAAATATTTAACTTACTAATAAGTTAATTACTATATAGTTAAATATGAATTCTGTATTCAACTTATAATTTAAATAAACATTACATGATTACGAAATTACAAAAAAATTTCTAAATTTAGCTTGCCATCTACTATAATAATGAAAGCAGAGATTTTTTTTCCAAAAATAAAAGATACGGAAAATGTTCTCCTTACCTCACATATGCGACACCCCTACGACATTCGCGCATCATTGGTGCATATCCGTGCAGATTAATTTGTGATAAAATTTCCGTACCATAAATGGATATTTGGAAAAAAATCCGCTACATAAATATAGTCGCGTCTTTGACTGTTTAATTTATCTCTTACAATGAATTAGAATCTCTTAAGATTCCACTAAAAAAAAAAGGGTAGGTTTAACTTATAACTAAAAGGGCAAAGAGTAGAAATACAATAAAATATTTTGCATTATTTTACAAAATATTTAAAGAAAATATTATGAACTCATTTACTCATTTTACATAATTTTACAAAACAAACACCAATGATCGATTTAGCTTACCATCTACTATAAAGTAATAATGTAATTGGATAATTATTTTTGAAGGCGGACCAGAAATTTTCTGGCATGATCCTAAAATTTATACTATATATGTATGTTTAAAAGTTGGGTCCAAAAAAAATCATATCTAGCATTTTTGTTGCCTTCAAAAATAATTACCCAATTTTACAAAGAAATAAACAAAAAATATATCTTGGATTCAACTTACAATCTGCCATAGCAAAGAATAACAAATATTTAACACATTTCATATAATTTACAAAACATACCAAAATACCCCGAATCCGATTTGCCATGAAACAACAAAATACTTTGATTGCAATTTACTGCTATTAAAGTCGGCTATTTTGAATTAAATCTTATATGCTGTATTTTACACTAAACAAAGAGAAAAACATTCGTATCCAACTCTATAAATTTTATTTTTAGCCTAATATAATTTTGCAACATTGAGAAAAGGTAAAGGAAATCAATTCCATAACTAGATTTCATATATGGTTAGCGAAAACTTTTTCATAAATAGCAGTACATATTCAAAATAATAATAATAATAATAATACCCTTCAATCTATATAAAAAAATTTTATTATTCGAAAACAGTAAAGTTCAAAGGTAGAACGAAGAAGTAACCTCACAATATTATGATGTAAAGTGTAAAAAATTTTGAGCAAGCGTGAAAAAATTATGCTAAATATTAATATTGCTTTTACCATCAATTAACTCTTTGATATAATCTTTCCTTTTGAAAATCACCCATTGAGTAAAAGTTGTAGAAGTGGCTAGAAAATTTTCAGGCACTTCATCAACATTAAAGTAAGACACATTTCTTGTTAAAGATAGAACTAGTATAAACGTACATGTTTTGACAAAATAAAAATTGACTGGCCACTTTAGCATGATCGGTAACGTTTGCAAAATATTTGGGGTATAAAATGAGATAGATATAAATCAAAAAGATATATAAAAAGATGTTCATTCAAATAATTAGTAGCTGCTAATATTATTAGTATAAAAAGACAATGACATAAATAACTCTGTCCCAAATAATAAGAGAAATAGTATGCTCGTTGAATCATAATCTTGGATAATAATAATATAAACGACCCAGAATACTGGAATGGCTACAATTGGAAAAAGTACCAGGAATAAAACGATAAATGGGTATTTTTTATTATAATAACAAGTTTCACTTAGTGTTATAGGGTGAATTAGTGCAGATACTGCACAAGTTATATGTAAGCATAAATTTATAACCGAAAATATCTTTATACTCAACAAGTCATCGTAGGAAAAAGAAACTATCAATGGGATTACCCAAGTGACTGTTGTATAGTAGGTCATCTAACAATGGTAGGAGATTTACTTTCGTGAAAAATTTATACCTAGGTATTCCATTTTTTCCGATCCATCATTTTCCTTAGAATTTTTACTTAATATGGATTCTTCATCTTCCTTAGATTTTTCATTTGATATGGGTTGTCCATTTTCTCCCGATTCCCTCATTTTATCTTGTGAATTATTAAATAAAATCACAAAAGTGATCGGAAACAATGTGTTAAGGAGTGTATCATATACATCTTGGTGAGATGAATAAAGCTCGTCAATTATGGATGCCATTGCATGTGGAAAGCAAAAAGAATATAATTTTCGAGAATAAATAATTAATTAAAGTAGAATTATTATTTTTTTGATTAAATAGAAAACTAACTATATCTTTAAAGGAATAGTTATTCATGGTAATAATAAATAAATTTTCCTTCGTATGGTTATCAAAAGAGTCACAGAGGCGAGGCTAAACAACAGTACAAAATATCTGAGAAATTTTTATAGGAAAAATGTGGTACGGTGGTCATATGATAATTTGATAAATCCCAGAAGCGTTATTTTCAGTAACACAGATTTCGAGAAATTTCTTAATTATAAATTTGCAAAGAAACCCTTTAGCGTCAGAACCAATCACGTAAGACCTTGAGCGTAAAATCAGTTTCGTCCGAGTTTTTCTTAACCTTATCTCATCACAGTCTTGTGCTGTAAGTTAATAAAACAAAGATAGTTTATTAATAAAATACGGTATCTTAATTCAACTGACATCTACAATAAACCTCATTTTATATGATTACGAAATAAACAAGAAAAAAAATACTCTGAATTCAACTTGCCATCTACTATAGTAATAAATGAGAAAACAATAAAATTTTAATAAATAAAATTTTACAAAATAAATAACGAAAATATTTTGAGCTCCACTTAAAATTTAAAGCTCGAAATCTTACGACAAAAAAAAATAATTTGGATAGCTTAAAATGCAATTATATCTCATTTCATATAATTTTTTGCAAAACAAATAAAAATATTTCGATTTAACTTACCATCTGCGATAAAAAACTAAAATATAACTATGTATAGCTCATTAAACATGACTTTACAAGACAAATGATAAATATATTCAGAATTAAACTTTTAATCTGTCATAATAAAGGAGAAGAATATATCAAATCTTATTTGGTGTGATTTTCTAACGAATAACATATATTTCGGATTCAACTTACAATATGCTATGATAAAGGATCCTGGATATGACCTGTCCTCATTTCATATTTGCAAATCAAATAGTGTAAATGTTCGGCTTTCCATTTACCGCTATAAAATTTAATTAAATCTAAAATAATTATAAAAAAAAAAAATCAAAAACATCTTGGATCCACTTGCTCTTTATAAATTTCAATTATTAATTTAATATAATTCTGAAACAACAATTAAAAGACAGAACCAAAATCAGACCATAACTGTATTCTACATATGAAAAGCTTTTATATATAATATTGCATATTTTACTTATACTCAAAAAAAAAAATACAAAAAGGGATCATTTAATTAATATAAAAATTTTAGTATACAAAGGCAATGGATTTAAAAGATAACAACAGATTCACTTCACAATGGAATTTGACGCTAGCTGTATAAACTTTGAATAAGCTATATAAAAATTATGCTTAAATATCCCCACTATTCTTTTCATATCTATCATAAATTTTCTTTTTGTATATGTCTTTCAGTCTAAAAAGCGACCATTGAGTATAAGCTGTTGAAGAGGCCAGAAAATTCTTGGGCACTTCATTAAAATTAAAGTAAGATACATTTCTTGTTAAAGATAGAATCAGTATAAATACACATGCTTTGACAAAATAAAAATTAATTGGCCATTTTAACATGATCAATAACGTTTGCAAAATATTTGGGGCATAAAATGAAAATATACTAAAAACATAAAAATAAAATGCATAATAAATACCACGTACATGATCAAAAGATAACAATAACATTATAAAAAGACTGAATGATAAAAATAACGCTATCCCAAATAATACGAGAAATATTGTGCTGACTAAATCATGTTCATGGCCAATAATAATATAAGCGATCCAGAATACTGGAATGGCTGCAATTGGAAAAAGTATTAAGAAAAAAAGTATAATAACAAATTTAAGATAATAACTAGCTTTGTCTATTGACATAGGGGGAATCAATGCAGATATTGCACAAGTTATATGTAAGCATGCATTAATAACCGAAAATATCTTTATACTCAACAAGTCATTATATGCAAAAGAGACTGTCAGTGGGATTACCCAAGTGACTGTGTTGTATAATAAGTCATCCAATAATGGTAGGAGGTTTTCTTTCGCAAGTAATTTTTCCCTAAGTACTCTAGTTTCAGGTTCCCCTTTTTCCCCAGGGTCTTCTTTTTCCTCAGATTCTCCATTTTCCCCAGGGTCTTCTTTTTCCTCAGATTCTCCATTTTCCCCAGGGTCTACTTTTTTCATAGATTCACCATTATTATTTTTTGATATATTAAACAAAATCACAAAAGTGATCGGAAACAATGTGTTAAGGAGTGCATCATATACATCCTGGTAAGATGAATAAGATTCATCAACTATAGATGCCGTTGCAAATGGAACAAGTAAAAAGAATATAACTTTCCAGAAGAAAGAATTCAATAAAGTAGAATCATGATTTTTTTGATTAAATAGAAAATCAATTATTTCTTTAAATGAATAATTATTCATAGTGAATACGGCAATAAGAAATTTTCAAAAATACAAGTATAAACTATAAAATGTCAGCAAAGTTTATTACTATTTTTTAATGACATAGCCCATACAGCGGATTATATAGCAATTGTGCAGCAATTGTGCAGCAGTTGTGCAGAATACATACAGCTGCATTTGTATTGTTTCGAGTAATTATTTTCGAAGGCGGACAAGGAGAGATTTATTAATATTTTTAAACGACATGGGGGGTGTTCCCCGTACATCGATTGTACAGCGATTGTGTAGCGGTGGTGCAGAATACATTGTAACGGTGTAACGGCAGAGATTTGCGTAACCGTTACTGGGTAAATAAATAAAAGGGTGATTTGAGGCGTGTTTGTATTTGACCGAGTCTTTATTAATTTTCTCACTTGATTACTCTTATCCTTCGTGTCTCCCTTCTACTCTTCTATACTTTACATGTTATTTATACTTTACATTTGGCTATGGCGGCTTAGACATAATAATAAGTAATAATACAGCGACATGGCTAACGCTAAATTACATAATTCTTTTCACAATCCTTCCCGTCCTTCCTTTATTACCTAATTATCATAGCCGACTTACCATTGTCACGTCGCGTTCCATTTCTCCCTGTTACAACATACAGGTGTATTTCAAGCGAAATTTCCGTACTGTAATAATATATAATTTCGAATTATATCACCCGGCATTAGTGTTTTGAAACCGATTAATTTTTAACTGGTTAACTAGTCATTTAGCTAATTTGTCAGTTTACTGGTTAAAAACGGTTAAGCTGATTGGTAAATTAGTAACCAATATGCAAACCCCGTAATAATTATCAAATATGAGAATTAGGGAAGTTTGAAACTATACAAACCCAGATTATCCCTTTACTATATTAAAAAAAAGCTTAAAATATAATAAGGTTAAGTAGCCTATCAATATTATTATCAGAAATTACTATCGATATGCGCAAAAGCTGAAAGGAAATGATTGGAAAAGGAATGATCTTTGTTATGCGCACCGGGAAATGAGACGTTCAGGCTGCGCAACATCCTGACATTATGGCTTAACTCCTAGTTGAAAAGAAATCTTATAAAGGCACACTTCGAGGTTTTTGCAAAATTAGCATTTCATGTAATGAAAATAATTTATAAGATGGTTTGGATAAAGAATCCAGTAAAAGAACCATGACTAGAAGTACTGACCTGAAATCTGAGCGCGCAGAAATGATGCAATGAATCTTTAATAGTGACAGTGATATTAACTGATGAGCATATGCATAAAACCATACAAAATACAAGGAAGTCAACCAATGGAATCACGATGCTTGCAATCAAGATAGAATACCCATGCGCATGAAGAGACACAATTATTAAACATTACAACATACCCGCAGTAGTGTCATGAACTGTTAGCACCATAGTTACCGCCACGAGCGAACAAGACGTAAACAAGATCAATCAAGGCATGGAAAACTGAACCAAAGAGGAAATAATAACAGTAACTGAGAGAAAATATCCATGCTTATAAATAAAAAGAATAAACTGTACAATCCGCTGGCAATGCATCAACAATCGCTAACTGGTGAAATATGATCCAAATACCATTGGAATAAAGATAAGAGCAAATGCCATCACCCTGATTAACATGATCACTTGTGTGATTGTCAATGACACTATGATGTGTGGCGAGCAAACAAGCTTGTCAGAGTGTTCCAGGTCCTGATGTACCATGTGATGCAATAAGAAAATTCGGAGATGAAAACTTGAATATAAACTACAAAACTATCACAACTAGCATTGTACATACGTTAGCATTTATGAAAGCAATGAGTAACAACATCTACCATAAAGAATTCGACATTGGTGACTAAATAAAATGAAATGTGAGTTTAAAGTCAACAATGGTTATGATCAAAATACAGTAGTAAAAAATGTGATGATTGAGATCTAATTACTGTAAATGAGTAATACTTTTTTAAAACTTAATTAATACTATCGAAATTAAAAATTAAATGAGTAATATTTTTTTAAACTCAATAATAATAACATATAGCTTAAAAAATAAATTAGTCATTCTTTTTTATATATGTGTAATATAATTTATAATTAAAAAAAGTGTTACATAATTTAAGATTCTAATATCTTTTTTTTGAGACGAAGGTACATGCAGCATATGATTTTTATTGAGTTATTTATATCCAATTATAGGACTACTATGGTCTATTTAAGTTAACCTGCTACCCCACCTATATTTAAACCCAGTGACATAGTATGCACTCTGAAAGTGAATCCATGTTTTTCGGGAAGATCTATCTAGGAGGTGAAAATCCTATCACTAGTTTTAAACCACCTAACCTATCAGTCTTGCTTGTGTTCAGACAGAGTGTGTTAATAGAACTGGCTCGAGATACCTTGAGTCTTTTTACCTAATTAGGCTAGAACCAATTATGGAAAAGGAAGTTGTTGATCAGGATTGGTTAGAATAAAGTACAGTCCAGTTTGTACATTCAAACATTTCATATTTTTGCTTGCCAATAATTATTATAGCTCCAACTGGACAATTGTTACATCACTACACCTTTTGTGGAGGTTACAATCTCAACACCCACTGGATCAGTATATAAACTGGCTTTCCATGAAAAACTGTACATTTCAGGTTATAGTGTCAGATACTATATTAATTCTATTCAACTGCCTTCATATGGAATTAAACTGGTATCTTGTAATCTAACCTGTGAAGCACTAACCACTGTACTATAGACCCACAGATCCAAGATTCTAATATCTTAAAATATCATTAATTATAAAATATATAAATAAATTTTTATATCTAATTTTGATTTTTTATATTGTAATTATGTTAAAAATAGAAAATAATAGCTTTATTATTTAAGATTCTTCCAGTGAAAGTTCCAGTTTGATAATATTAACCAATCAAGATACTAAACAAAAAAAAATTATATTAGAAAAATCAAAAAAAAAGTGTAATCGTTACTTCTTAGGTTTGGGAATATTATGATAAAAAAAAATGGATTTTTATAATGCAATATAAAAATCATCAATATAAGCAAATATATAATAAAATATAGTAAAAATAGTTCAACAGAAACTCTTTCTTATTATCTTCAACAGGTTTATAATATTATATCTGGATGTTTATCTCAAGTATTATTTAATTTTAATTATACTTTAATTAAATTATTTATTTTTTTAATATTTCATAATTTATTTAATATAATTAGGATATTGAACAATTAAATATTAATAGTAAAACCAAAAAAAATTTGTTGCATAAACCTTCAAAGATGAATTATTTATATCAAATAGTTACTGAATAGATAATAATTAATGGACATCCATTTAATATAGTACAATAAAAAGCATTTCAACATATAATGGCTATATTTGATCCAGGTTTCCAGGTTTCAAGTAATATAACTTACAAAAATTTAGTTGCTAAAACATATGAAAATAGTGTGAAAAAAGTTAAAGCTTTAATTATAGAAATATGTGAATTTGTAACTATAACTGTTGACTTATAAACAGCTTATAACAAAGTTGGATTTATTGAAATAACAGGTTATTGACTTACTTTTGAATTTAAAACTATAGATAGATCTTCTTTTAAGTTATAAACAAATGTTATATCTATCACAAGCTGTGTGCACGTTCCACTATAAAAAAAAAAAAAAAAACAAATGTTATATCTATATATAAGCAAGAATATTTTATTATTTATATTAGCAAAACTTAAAAAGTTTAATATTAAAAATAAAACTTTTTTTGCTATTAATGATAATGAAACAAATATAATAAACATATTTAACAAGTTTTAAAAAATAGTCCAACTTCTTTGTATCACTTACAACATTTATTTATCTATTAATAAAGGTTTAAAAACTATTTAAGTACATACAAAAAGATTTCAAAAATTAGTGAAATTTTTTATATCAATAAAACAAACTAAATGTTTAGATCAAGCTCAATTAACAATCACAAGAAATAATATATGAAAAGAAATTATACTTCAATTTAATAATATGCAAGATTCAAATAATAAAAATTATAATATTAATAATGAAAATAAAGAATTAGAAACTTTAATCAAAACAACAAAATTCAAATCTTTGTATAATATATCTGATATATACTGTTATACTTGATTTTTATCCAAGATCATCCCTATCTCTTGTCTGATTTTTATTAGCATTTACTCTTAAAATACTGTTTATTTTAGAATAATCATTGTATTATTATTGTTGTTTTTGTTTAATTCTATGCTTTTTATACTATTGTTGCTCTATAATATTTCCTATTTTATTTATTTATCCTTATTCTTTTATCTTTGCCAAAGCATTTATTTCTATACCAATATATACAAATAATTATTCTAATGAATATAATACTTCTTTTATATCTTTGTTATTTCCTATGACTTATAATTATCATATATAAAAATAATATAACTCAAACATGTATATAAAGTTTTCAATTTCATCTAGAAATTGGTAGGCTTGAACTTATATTTTATTGAATAAATATTTTGATCTTTACAAACAAAATCACAATTGTCTCTTTCACCTGATCTCATATATCTCAAAACTGTACTAATTTGTATGCCTTTAGAAACTTTAGCATATCATATTTATTTTATCTATCTAAAGTATCACTTTGTTACTAGTTCTTCATCTTTATCTTTCTCCTAAAGTAGAAATAATATATGATAATACATATGATAGAATTTTAGTTATTATTTATGGA